AGCATCTCCTTGACAATAGAACTTGGAATAAAATAAAAACATATTAGAAGCTTGCTTGCTTGATCAAATTACATAAGTGAATTGTAATATCTTCCATATGAGCAGAACCAATTGCAAATTTTGCAATCTGGATTGATCAAAATCCATCAAAAAACTTTTCTAATTTGGGAATGATAAATTGAAAGTGATACCTTGTTGCAAGTTGTAGCAGATGTAACTGACAGTAAAATTGTATACTGATTGGTTCTATCATCATTTCTTTGTGGAAATCATTTACTTCCTGGAACAAAACAACGTCTTAGTTTTAGCATGGCAAAGTAACATGAGTCTCCTGATTGCGTTGGAATAGTTTTGAAAATTTGTACTTTGATACAATGTACCTTTTGCCATGTGTCTTACAAATGTTCCCAAGCAAAGCCATAGAATCAAAGGCTACCATAAAGGAGGAGGAATGTCCACAAAGATGCCCCATTATGCTTCACAATACAAAACATATTGGTGGATTCAAGTAGGATAAATGGGATATTACAAAAACATGATGTATGATGTATCTATAAAGTTTGAACAGGATTGGTCAAGGCATGTCAGAGATATGCCTCCAGAACAGTATTTTTTTTTTAAATGGCTGCCAGTTGGCTATTTTGAATCCGGTCTGAGAAACAAAATGAAGTGAATAAAGCTCTCATTATGTACCAATTTTGGAAAAAATCCATTACGAAAACAGAAATTTTAATTTTAACGAACAGTCGTACAAATGTATCCCAAAATGTATGATGTATGTGTGAAGTTTGAATGTCATCGTCCCAGGCATGTCTGAGATAGAGGTGGGCATGAACGGATGGGCAGAGGTCAATTCATAAGTCCACCTCAGTTTTTTCAGTTTTTGAACTTTGTCTGAACAGGATTTTCTAGTGATTTCGAGAATTTCAACTATTCACTTAAAATAACAAAATCACAATATCGCAGAATTTGTTATATAATAATTACTATGCATGTTTTATATTTAGATTATAAAGATTATCAGAAATCAGTATTCTTAGCATACACTTTACAAGAAGTAACATTTTACCTTAATGTCAGACAATTTATCTGACAAACTGAAATACTTGAGTTTGATTGGATTGTCAATAGTCTCCACAGCACCACTATCAAAATGTTTGGCATTCAACTGACAAAGTTCTGCAACAAAAACAAACAAAACATTTTAATACAATCTATCTGACAAACTTAGGCGAGGGTTCCACAAACCCACCTATTCACATAGTTCATACCCACCATAGACTTGAACTGTAGGGATTAATCAGCGATTCTGCCGGTGACGGAGAGATAGAATCTAAGTCAGGGGAAGCCCCATGACCCCAAGATTCTCTTTCCCTTACGTTACAAACCACGTGACTGAGGCCATATGGCAGCGTCATAGACGGCTATATAAATCACTCTGGTTCCTTTCTCTCCGCATCGAGGACTTAGACCAACGCTACGGAAAGAGTGGGGTGGTTGGGGGTCTATGGTGGGTATGAA